AGTGGGTAGGTTCAGATCAGTTAGGCAGAGAAGATGTGAGTCCTGGAGCAGTGTGAATGGGGCTGGTCATAAAGCATGGGTGCAGGGGCTCCCGCTTTGCCTTGTGGGGGAAACTTGCTTCTGTGGTGGTGATGCTGGTGGCTCAGGGCCTGGCCCCTGGGACTTGTGACCTTTTGTATAACGTCAACTTTATTAAAAAATTCAGTGGGTTTTATACAATACAAGGAACTGATGGTGTCATGTGGGGTTTGTCAATTACACACAAAGATTTAGGGCACAATTAGATGAGAAACAGGACATAAAGCTTTTACCTGGTGCCAGCTAGGGGCTGTTTGTAAAGCAGGATGCTTGAACTTTTACTCAGGGTTACCAGTGCCTATCTGGTAATTTATTAGCCACCATGTTTTCTTAGGACAAAAAGCATAGTAAACGTTTAGCTTTTAGCCCAGGAGTAAACCTGGCCTATTCTTTTAGCTAGTGAGAGCTGGGAGTTACTTGTTCAGAACAAGGAGGTGGGCTAAGGGCTGTTGACCAAGATGCTTTCCCTCAGAGCAAGGAACTTAAACTTTTGACCCAGCTACTTTTCTCCTCCTAGTCCTGCAGTGTTCAGCAAGACAGGGATTTGAGGACACTGTATTCAAGGGCTTCTCCCTTCAGCAGAGATTTTAGCCTGATCTTAAAGTTTCAGATCCATTTAATCCTAAAGCATGCCACCCTGGTTTCCTACACATGGGGATGTTGACCTAGTGGGCAAGATCTTTGGTAACTCACCTTACTAGGCTGGTGTTCTCAGGCAGCAGCTGGAGAAACGGGCCTAGGTCCAAGAAGAACTGGGACAGGATGGGACTATTTTGACTACATAAGGAGAGAAGCTGTGTTTGAATATGGCATTGTAAATTTATTTATTTATTTATTTTTATGTGTGAGTGTTATGCCTGCATGTATGTAAGTGCACCTGTGCCATGCAATACCTGTGGAGGCCAGAAAAGGGTGTTGGATTCTCTGGAAATGGTGTTATGGATGGTTGTTAACTACCATGTGGGTGCTGGGAATGGAATCTGGGTCCTCTGCAAGAGCAGCCACTGCTCTTAACGACCGAGTCATCTCTCTAGACCTGAATATAGATAGCGTTTTAGCCTAGTGAGAAAACAGGTTGTTGGGACAATTAAACGGCCAATTGAAAAAAGTTCTTAAATATTACAGTTCTCCAAAATACATCTTGGAATCACTGCTGTGTCAAAATTGAGTCAGGAGAGTGCATTCTTGAGTGTTCACTTTTTCTGGAGAACGTCCATTGATTTTCCCTCAGAAGTTTGTATTTACACTCATGGATTGGTAGGATTAATATTGTAAAAATGGCCATCCTATCAAAAACAATCTAAAATTCACTGCAAAACCCATTAAATCACAACACACAGAAATTGTAATCTCAAATTTCACATGGAAATCCCCTACCCCTGCAAAACCCTAAAATAATCTTGAACAATAAAAGAACTGCTGGAGGTATTAGCATCTCTGGTCTCAAATTATACTGCAGAGCCATAGTAATAAAACCAACATGGTACTGACATAAAAAACAGACCAATTGATTGATGGAATAGAATTGAGGACCTGGATTCAAATTCGTGCATTTATAGCCACCAGATTTTTGACAAAAGGTCCAGAAATACACACTGGAGAAAAGACAGCATGTTTAACAAATGGTGCTGGTCAAACTGAATAGCTGCGTGTAGAGGAATGAAACTAAGTCCCTGTCTCACACTATGCACAAAGCCCAACTCCAAATGGATCAAGGACCTCAACATAATACCTGATACCCTGAATCTGATAGAGGAGAAAGTAGGGAATACACTGCAACTTATAGGCACAGGAAAGGACTTTCCAAACAGGACTCCTAGAGCACAAACATTAAGTCCAACCATTGACAGATGGGACCTCATGAAACTAAAAAGCTTTTTTACAGCAAAGGCTTTCATGTGAAGAAAGTCACCTGCAAGGGAAAAAGTCTTTACACGATATGTCTCTGACAGAGGGTTAGTATCTAGAATATACAAATAACTCAGAAAACTAAACATCAAAAAAGCACAAACAACCCAATTAAAAAGTTGGGCAAGGAGCTGAGTAGGGAGTTCTTGAAGGATGAAACAAAAATGGATGAGAAATACTCTTTAAAATTGTTCAACATCTTTAGTCATTAGGAAAATGCAAATTAAAACCACTTTGGGATTTTTATCTTATCCCACTCAGAATGGCTGAGATTCTAAAACAAACAACAAATACTGGCAAGGATATGGAGAAAGGGAAACTCTTGTCCACTGTTGGTGGGAGTGCGAACTAGTGCAGTCACTATGGAAATCAGTGTGGAGATTCCTCAAAAAGCTAGAAATCAATTTGCCATAGGATCCAGGCATACTACTCTTGATCATATTATCAAAAGACTCTATACATTACTACAAAAATACCTATTTATTCATGTTCATTGCTTCCCTTTTCATAATAGACAAGAATTAGAAACAACCAAGACGTTTCTCAACTGAATGGATAATGAAAATGTGCTACATATACACAATGGAGTATTATTCAGTTCTTAAAAAACAAATTATGAAATTCACAGGTAAATGGCTAGAGCTGTAAACAATCATCCTAAGTGAGTTAAGAGACCCAGAAAGACAAATGCCACATTAGCTTGATGCTAGTTTAAAATCTTAGATGTTCATATGCCATGTAGAGATGCCATATGGAAATCTATCACTTTTTAAAGTTTATATACATTATAAAGGGAGATTAAAAGGAGTTAATTTATAACAGGTGAACATTAGCCCTACTAATCATCATAGGCTAGCAAAGTTAAAGCCCAATATCAGGAATGGACTCCCTCTTTTGAAACTGTGAACCAGGAGTCAAGCTGGTACTGATTTTTAAAGTTTCATCTCTACTGGCTAGTGTTCATAGTGCAGGAAGGTGCTATGCATGCTACCTGAAAAGAAAATCAATCATCAATCTTATTGTACTGTGAATACTGCGAGCTACAACAACTGGCTTGTCAAGATATGCTCACTGGTGCAATAGTGGCACAAATGTTATGGGAGTAACCAACCACTTTCTTAATGGATTTAAGAACTGCTTCATAAAATGGAATCCATACCTGACACTGATATCGGGCCTAGGAATCTGAGGCTAGACAGGTCAGAGGCCATAGGCCGAATACTATTGTTCTCCTAATATTAAACTGGTTCCTAATGACTTATGACTCATAGATTAATGCATCTCTCAATTCTCAGCAGAGAAGTTTCCCTATGCAGCAGATGGTGATTATTAACACAGAGACCCACAACTGGCCAATGTGCAGAGAATAAGAGGCTGCAGAGTGCTTATCCCTGAATAGTATACCCGTTTCACACCTGCCTCCCAAGGCTCAAGGATCATTGTGGAAGAGGGGGCGGAAAGATTGTAAGAGCTGTAAATGGTGGATGACCACAAAGAAGTAAAGCTTTATAAACAATCGATCAGTTACTCCTATGAACTCACAGTAATGGTGATAGCATGCACGAGTCCCACATAAGCTCAAGCCAGACAAAATCCCAGCATGGACATGGGATGTGGACAAGAAACCCCAGGCCTACCTGAAGAATGTTTGGCAACCAGTGTCTGCTGGGAAGAGGAGAGTCAGTTTCCTTTAAATGTGAGATTCTCAGGTTGCCAGGCTCCAGTGGATGGACCCACACCAAAAGGTATTTGGAGATACAACTTTAACTCTATAGGCCCCTCTCTGTGTATATGAAAGTTGGCAGGGGGTTGTAAGGAAGGGTGCAGATAGGGGAGGGGATCTATATATGAGCAAAATATATTGCATGAAATTCTCATATTCATTTAAATAGTTTGTATTTAGCCAGGCATGGCGGTGGGTGGTGGTGCATGCCTTTAATCCCAGCACTTGGGAGGCAGAGGCAGGCGGATCTCTGTGAGTTGAAGGCCAGCCTGGTCTACATAGTGAGTTCCAGGTCAGCTGGGGCTACAGGGAGACCTTGTCTCAAAAAGACCAAAAAAAAAAAAAAGTTTGTACTTATTCACACATCTCTAAAATCATGAAAATGGACCGCTGTTACTTCTTCTGTTAAATTTTCAAGCAAACCTGTAGGGACCTTGATGGATGAGGAATGGAAATGAACAGGACAGAGGGTGTTTCTTTCAGGGGCATTTTCCTGTAAAGCATCCTTATGTCCCCCTCTATTTTCAGTGGAGTAATGCTTTCCTAGGGCTGCAAGTCAGCCTTGAGCAGATAACTGATGTTCATCCAGCTTTCTTTGATTGTTTTGCGTTTAAAATTTTTAAAGTTTTGTTATTTTAAATTCTGTGTATGTATGTGTGCGTGTGTGTAGGGGGTGGTGGTGGTGGTATGCACGGGAGTGCAGGTGCCAGTGTAGTCCAGAAGAAGGCATCAGGTTCTCCTGGAGTTACCGGCGTGGGTGCTGGGAATCAAACTCTGGTTCTCTGCAAGAGCAATCTGTGTTCTTAGTCCCGAAGTGATCTGTTCAGCCTTTTGACTTTTGACGGAACGCAGGGCTGCTCTGCAGAGACTTGTCCGGCTTGCCTGCACATGCGCATTGGCCATCATTGCCTGTGGCGTGTCTGAGGTCAGTCTCTTGCAGGCAAGTACACACTCACTCATGCACACCTGCTCATGCGCACTCCCCTCCACATACACACCGGTGCACATTTGTGTTTACCAGAGTGACTTGATAGCGACCATTCTGCAGCGTCCGTTAAACCACCGGACGTTTGGGCAAGATTTGGCTGGCCTTTTATAAACGGTGGGGGTGGGCTTGTTATAACGTCGTTGATATTGAGATCAGAGCTGGGCTCATATTAAAGCTGATACTGAGAACAGGAAGGGTGGGCCTATAATACTTTTGATATTAAGGTGGCGAGGATCGGCTTGTTGTAATAACGTTAATACTGGGGTGGGGAACGGTTGGTTTAACCACAGCCTTGACCCTACGATGGGAGGACGGCACAGCCAAGTGGGAAGGACGCTATCTATACGGTCCTGGGCCTCTGCCTTGCTTTGCTGCTGTTGTCAGAGGATTCTTGAAGTGACGCCCCAGGGTTTCTGCGAGATCCAGAGGAGCAGGAGCTCCCACTGCCTTGGGCTGCAGGATCCTTCTTATTTAGACATGACCTACTTTCCTGACAATGATCTGCACATGGCAGTCTGTGCAGGAGATTTACGGTTTGTGCAGCACTACTGCACCGTGGGTAACTACGAAGTCAATCACAGAGACAAGGAGAACAGGTAAGAGGGTCTTCAGACAGGAGGGCAGATTGGGGGAAGACAACTGCTCCAGCTCCGCAGATGAGCAAGGGGAGCCTGACTGCCACCCAGACTCTGCAGCAGCAGTGACTGCACACCTGGGAAGGTCCTGTGCCCAGGCCTGCCTTGTGAGCAGTACCCCAAAGCCAAAACTCAGGCTGGTTTCCCTTCCCCTTCTGAAGCTCCTTATAGAGAATGTAACTGACTGTTTAAAAGTGTTAGGTAATGTTCATATCAGAGTCTGCTGGGATTTCCTGACTAGAACTTCCAAAAGCATCCCTCTATTGTGTTCCTCCTCATTTTTCTTTTGTCTGTCAAGGCTGGACTCAAGAGGGATGGACTCAGAATTTGTTTTCAGGCACTTTGGTAGCTGTTGGAGTGGCTAGAATCAGTGTCAGTTCCCTCTCATTTCCTTAGGGGACACAACAAATTTAGCCATTAGTTCCAAAGGCCAAAAATATCAAAAGTATTTGGGAGCGCTTAGCTAATCCCTAAAAGATTTTAGGATTATCTCTTCAGAGGGGGGAGTGTTAAAGTAGCAAAAAGCCCCATTTAAAAGAAAGAAAGAAAGAAAGAAAGAAAAAAGAAAGAAAGAAAAAAGAAAGAAAGAAAGTACACGAAGTTGTCAGAAAAAAGCAGTGGGGAGATATGGGAGGTGTTGGAGGGGAGGGAGTGATCCTGGATTTGATCAAAACACCTTATATGCATGTATGAAATTCTCAATAAAGGTTTTTCAAAAGTTAAAAAAAGTGTTAGCTAACAAAATGAAGTCATTGATTGCTGTGCACAAAGAGGCTGCTCTGGTCCTATGGCGAAAGCAAGTGCATTGGATAAGCCTCATTCAATATTAGCTAACAAGATCAAGTCACATAGGATCTTATTTAATGTACATTATAAAGTACAGTGCTAAATACATTGAAGTGGAAAACAAAAGGAATATTCCTAAAAATTCCTATGACTATTCATCATAAATATGTGCTGTGTGCGCGTGCGTGCGTGCATTCATGCATGCGTGTGTGCATGTGTGTATGTGTGTGTATGTGTGTGTGTGTGCTGTGTATTTAGGTATTTTGTAAGGAAACCGAACTGGGAAGGTTACTGGGTGCACTTGTTTTTCCTTCCACACTGAGGTAGATCGGTCATCAAAGCGCTTACTGCTCTTTGAAAGGATGTTGGTTTAGTTCCTGGGATACTCATAGTGGCTCACAACCACCTAGAACTCCAGGTGTAAGGGACCCAGTACCATCTTCTGGCCTCTCTGGGCCATGCATGTACACAGTGCTCATAAAATTCACTCAAGGGGCTGGAGAGATGGCTCAGCAATTAAGAGCACTGGCTGCTTTTGCAGAGGACCTGGGTTTGATTCTCAGCACCCACATGGCAGCTAGCAACCATCGGTAACTTAACTCCAGTTCCAGGGGCTCTGACACCCTCTTCTGACCTTCACAGGCATTGCATGACAGGGGTGCACTTACACACATGCAGGCAATACATTCATACACATAAAATAAACTCAAGCATTTATTCACATAATAAATAAATCTTGAAAAAATGTACATGTCTCTACCTGTTGGTTCCATTAGCGAAAATACCCACAGCATACTTTATTTTTATCATTATGGCTTACAATATCTAAATTTTAGGTGAACTCAGAATAATATTACAAAAAAATTAATGCATTAATTGGAAGGCACATTTGACTTTTGAAAGCTATATAGATATATATGTATTTTAGCATATACATTGATTACATATGTGCATAAATTGTGGATTTTTTTTAGCAAAATACATGTACAAAATGGTAATGTATTGTTCTCAAACACTTCAATTACAAGCGAATTTTTCTTGTTATTACTTGAAAATTTATTTTATTTGAACCTTTGAAATTTCTGATTATCTTTTTATTTCTTTTTAGCTTAATTTCAGTGATACAGAATACATATTCTACATTAAATCAATGTTTTGCTGTTGAGTCTTGCTTTTGACCTGACATGTAGTTGGTTCTGGCCAGAGCTCTGTATGCACGTCTCCTTTTTCTTACCTGCCATTTCTATAATGAACATAGTTAAAAATTCTAGTAAAATTTGATGATTAGTATATAATCATTGTGCAGAGCAGAGCTATGACTTGTGCACGGATGGAAAAATTTATACTTATTTCTTAATTTTGTGTGTATATATGTGTTGATATTTTCTATCAATACTTGGTCTTTCAGAAGAGAATCTTTTCATCTGTGCTTATAGATTTTATTATGAATAATAAATAAGAATAAATTTTGTTACATATGCTTTATTATATAGACTTATATATACAAACAATTACAGGCTTATTGTAAGTATTAAAATTAAAGACAACAAATATCAATGGTTATTAATATCATCTTATTATTTTTTTTGGTCTTTTTTGAGACAGGGTCTCCCTGTAGCCCCAGCTGTCCTGGAACTCACTATGTAGACCAGGCTGGCCTTGAACTCACAGAGATCCGCCTGCCTCTGCCTCCCAAGTGTTGGGACTACAGGTGTGTGCCACCATGCCTGGCTAATATCATCTTATTCTATAAAAGTTGTCTCTATAGGTACTACCAACTGTATTTCTCCATTATTTCAATCCAGTCAATCACCAGACTTAGCCTGAGTATCTACTACATACATATATTATCTCTCGGGCTCCTTGAAAACCTCATGTTTCTTTGCCCAGACTAGCAATATTGACTAAAAGAAGTGATACTTTTCTTATTTGACTCCTGGACCTCCTTTTTTTGACTTAAAGTTCCTTGAAAATCAAAGCCAAGATTACCGTGTTTAGATTTTGTTGCTGTTATTGTTGCTCTTATTCAGTCCTCTATACCCATTGTACTTGTAAGAAGTTAATTTCCTAAATACAAATGGCATGATCAGAACTGCTATAGACTTTTTTGTATATCACATTTCCCTAATGGGAGGCACTGTGGATTGTGCTATCAATTGACGCTCTAAAACAAGATGGGTTGGTAAGGGGCATTTCAGTGTCAAAGTGATTTTTGAAAAGCATCTTTAGCCAGCCACAATGGCACACAGCTCTTGTCCCTGCTATTTGGAGCTGCAGCAGGGGCCATGAATGTGTGGCCAGCTTGGACAAAAAGAAGATCCTGTCGCACTATTAAAAAAAAAGTTACTCTTGTTGAAACATAATCCTTAAAACATATCTACAAAATGGGTGTAGTTTTTTTCTTTGGGTGTAGTTGTTTTATTCAACCCATTTGAAATGCTTGTTAAGTTGTAGTGATAATTATATCTAACATGTTGAGCTGTCATGAGAAAACTTTTCTAGTTATTTTGTCTACAAGCCGAATGAAGCATCCCACTTCTGTTCCCTACTTTAGGGATGAGGAAAGGAGGCCTAGAAAGGCTGAGAAAAGCTTAGAACAGATGAAAGTTCTCTCACAGGCTTATGTATTTGAGCAAATAGCTGGTCATCAGCAAATAGCTCTGTTTTGGAGGCTATGGAATCTTTAGGAGACAGGCCTTGGTTGGTGGAAATAAGTCACTGGGGGCGGGATTTAGCCTTTCTCTGTCCTGTGACTGCCACCATGAGTGTGTGTCTTATAGGTCATAAGGCCTGATCTGAGGGAGGAACATGGACATGTTTGGAGGTGGTGTTACAGAGGCTCTAAGACACTGTAAGCAGAGCTGAATGACCCATCCTGGAGGGAGTGCAAGAAACAGACAGTAAAGGCTGCACTCAGGAGATTTCAGAGGGGACAGGGACTCTGTTAGAATTTGGGCTAGAAGCCTTTTGTGTCACAATCTGGCAAAGAATCTGGCTCGTTGTATGTTTTGAAGATTTAAATGAAGCTGAATGCAAACAAAATGGGTTAATTTGGTTTTGGAAGAAATTTCACAAGTGAATAAATGCTTTTCTTTAGAAGTTATATATTTATTTAAAACATGAACTATATGCCATTTAGCATGAATAATTGTATATGTTGAGATAGTGCCTTATAACTTCAATTCCCTGTCCTTTCTCTTTCTCTCTCCCTCTAGCTTTTATTTTTTTTCTTGGAGTCAGGGTCTCCCTGAAACGCATTATGTAGACCAGGCCCTCTATCTCAAAATGATCTGCCTGCCTCTGCCTCCCTAGTGCTGTGATTAAAATCTGCTGTCTTTCCTATAGGAATGTAATGCATTTTGCCTGCTTCTATGGCCACCTAGAAATGGTAAGTTATCTGTGGAGACGTGGCTCTGAGATCAACGCCCATGATGAGCACAACGTCACACCTCTGATGAAGGTAGCCTGTAGCCTTGCTTTAACCATGAGGTGCTTTTGATTTAAATTTTTAGACTAAACATGAATTTTTCTCATTTAAATACAACTATTTTTGAAGACCTGTGCATGTTTATCTTCAATTTCTAGAACTGACAATGTGCATCTTGTTACAATACCCCCAGGCTGTTCAAAGCTGGTAAGAGGAGATTGTATTCTTTCTGCTGGAACATCATGCTAATCTTCACATTAAAGATGACAAAGGGAACACTGTGCTCCACTATGCTGTTTATGCAGGGCAACCAACCACAACTGTCAGACTGCTACAATACGGAGCAAATATTGAAGAAAGAACGAAGGTAAAACTCACCAAAATTTGAAATATGTAGGTAGGACCAATTGCCCATTTTTGAAGCTCAAGCATTCTCTAAATGAAAATGTTTTAAATACTAAAGTTGAAAAGGGCATCATTTTAAGTATTGGTACCTGGAATTTGTGGGCACAGCTTTCTTCTGTGCATTCAGGAAAATATATTTGAAAACACTGAATTTGTTAAGGGTAAAATTCATGTTTTATTCAAGCATGTTTTAAACATTTTTGTAAAGAAAATAAAAATTAAGGCATGAAAGCAACATTAACCTTGTAAATCATCTTCATCTTAAAACTCAAAATATTTAAGTAAATGGAAATGTTGATACATGATGTTGACAAGTTATAGCCAGTCATTTTCCTGGTCTTGGGAAGGCTATAGAAAGAATAACAGAAATGGAATTTGATCAGAAACATTCAAGAACATTTGGAAATTATGTAAGAGAAAATGCCAATAAGTCTTTGCTGATTGTTTCAATTTTTCTATTTTTTTTGTAGAGATGTTATTCTTCAAATTGGGGGTAATTTTGCCTAGTGTGAGAAAGGATGCTACTGAGTTACAAACATGCCTAGGGATCAATTTTTGAAGGCCCTAATTGGTATTGGTTAACTTTTCTTGAGGCGATATGGACAAATGTCTAACTGAAAGTTTTCAGGTGGAGAAGAGTTCAAGAGAGACACATGGGATGGATTATTGAACAGTAATGCGTTTTTAGAAGAGTTATTAACACCATGGATAGAGAGAGAAAGAATAGAGGGGGCTCTGGGGAGAATTCCAGCCCCTGCAACAGAGGCAGAGCACATGGCAGTGTCTCTGAAAAGAGGAACCATAGCTCATGTGGCAGATATTAGTGGCTCTTTTTAAGTTTTTCTGAGGATGGGGAGGCTTCACAGTAGAAGACTGCAGCCAAGCTCTCTGATTCCCAGGCAGGGAAGGGGATGGGGAGCAGGAATTATGATCGCAATACCTCTTCGATGTGCGAATTCCCAGCTCCTGGTGCCAGGATGTCTTTTAGCTAGGCCTGACAGATAATGTCTTAGTAGGGGTGCCTGTGGGTATCTGTGAAACAGGAAGAGTTGCTGCAAAGGAATGTGCAAAGTAATATATACAAAATAAATATTCTATACACACATACATGTATGAATGAAAAGGAGGTAGAGGAGGAGATTCAAGGGATAGTGGTGTCAACTTGACTTGGTCCAACTACTGTCTGAGATAAACAGGGATGAAGATGGGGGTGAAGTGGGTAGTTAAGTGCTGACTTCTAGGACAAAGGCTGCCACCTGAATTTATGCATCAGGAGGATGGTACTGAATCCAAGTAGCATGTGGACAGTATTTTGAATGAACTGAATCAGCATATAGATTAAAGAGGCACCTATTTGTGGATACAAGAGTCAAAACAGGTATTTAGGGAATAATCACAACTATAAGTCAGGAAGTTCAGGAAGAGTTTTGAAATTATTTTGAGTTGGGATTATTGAGAGAAGCAGGTGGAGAGTAAATATAGAACAGGCAAAGGAGGGAGTACTCACAGGATTTGAAATTTTTTAATTTATAGGAGGTTGTGTGGAAGGCAGAGAGTAAAGATAGGTTTTAGTAGGGTTGCTAAAGACCCTCATTAAATAGTTTTTGGGTATTAGTAACAATAATATTATGCCATATACTGAGGAAGGTAATAGATTTGGCTATTAACAAGGCTAAAATAGCCCAATGTGGCTTTGGGTTTGGGTCTGTAACATTTTAACTCTTCACACTTAGAGCTGTCCGTTGTTGAAGCTGTAACAATGCAGATGAAGTTTGTTGCAGTTCCAACAGAGATATAGTTTAGAATCCTATATCCCAATGTAGCTAAGATCTTATCCTGGAATCTGATGAAGCTGAGATCTCAGGAGGCAGATTGCTAGGAGAGAAATGATTACTGAAAGCCACTAAGAAGAAAGTTTTGAATCCCAATATCCATTAACCATATTATAATTTAGATTAAATAAATTATTTTTGTCCCCTGTATCTAACAATGATAGCAACAGAAATATTATAGCTGATATTAAAATAATGAAAACCACATCATGAATGAAAAGAGCAACAGACGAGGGATTTAGGTACTTTAGAAGAGTTGATTTAACTCTTTTGGTACCCCTCTTGTAGTAAATGGAGTTAAAGTTAGAGGAGTAGCAATCTAACTGATTGGACCCACTTCATATATATAAATAGGAAAAAGTCTGGTTTTGGTTTTAAAACTTTGTAGTTAATTTATAGATATTCCCCAAATTGAGTTTATTTTATTTGTTTGTATTGAATTTTTACAAATTTCATCCAAAATATTTTGATCATATTTAGATCCTATGCCTGTACCCTATTACTAGCCCTCCACCAAATTTATGTATGTATGTATGTATGTATGTATGTATCATCATCATCTATCTATTCATCTATCATCTATGTATCTATCTGTTTATGTATCTATCAATCATCTATATCATCTATCTATCTATCTATCTATCTATCTATTATCTATCATCTATCTATCATCTATCTATCTATCTATCTGTCTATCTACTATCTATCTATCTATCTATCTATCTATCTATCTATCTATCTATCTATCTATCTATCTATCTATCTATCTATCTATCTATCTATCTCCATCATCATCTATCTATCATCTATCTATCCATCTATCATATATCTATCATCTATCTATCTACCTATCTATCATCTATCTACTATCTATCATCATCATCATCTATCTATCATCTATCTATCTATCATCTATCTCTCTTCTCCCCAGGGCTGGGGTTACAGGTGTGACTCTCTACCCCCAGCTCTTGATGTAGGTGCTGGGTATCTGAACTCAGCTCCCCAGATATCTATCTATCTATCTATCTATCTATCTATATCTATCTAATCTATCATCATCTATCTATCTACTATAGAGTCATGTTGTATCTCCAAATGCCCTTCAGTGTGGGTCCATCCACTGGAGCCTGGTCAAACTACCAAGAGTCTCACCCTTAAACAAGACTTCCCTTCCCAGCAGCCATTGGTGCCAATAGTTCCTTAGGTAGGGCTGGGTTTCTTACCCACATCAAAGTGTCTATGCTGTGATTCTGTCTGGATTGAGCTTACTTGGGATTTGTGCATGCTGTCACTATTGCTGTAAGTTTGTATGAGTAACTGACCAGCTGTTTGGAAAACTCAAGAGTTTTTTTTTAAACTTGGTATGAGATCCCTTATCCAAATTATATTGAACAAGGAAATTCTTTTACAAAGGCAGTTAAAACATTAGACTCTTAAGACAGTGAAAACATTTGAATCCTAAGATAGTATAAACATTTGAAAATTTGGCTTAAATGAGGCAGGGGTAAATGAAAAATTACATAAAAATATGATTTAAGTAAAAACATGATATCACCTTCACCTGAAGTTTTACCAAATCAAGGTTACATCACTATTATATAACATTTAGAAATATACCATACAGTATTTTAAGCATCTTTTATACATAGTAGGATTTAAGAAATATAACAGCACTGTCCCTTTTCCTTGTGCTGGAGGGTGTGTTCTTTCAATTAATGAGCTCATGAAAGCCTCTGTCTTTGTTTGCCAGGTGTTCACTGTGGCGAACTCATAATTAGTGACAGGTGTTTACTTATCAATCTACAGGACTGCAGGTCATAGGCACAATGCAAATTTATAGACTAGGCCAAACTTATAGATTTAAGAATTTGTCAAGCAAAAATAAGTTTTATGATCATTATATAATTTAGTAGGACTATCTTAGGTAGGAATAATTCTTTATAATACAATTGTTAATATCTTTAAGATAGTGTTTATTTAACAAGTTAAGGCTTTACCCATTAAGAAAATATATTAAGCATTTGGAGAAATATAACCATAGGTCTTAAATGTCTTATTTAGTAAGAAGATAAAATAAAATCCCTGCTTTTATAAGCCAGTTTTTGTAAACGCTGCTATGAATAGTTCAATGTAAAAAAAAACCAACTGTTGTAAACAGAGAGTTGACATCAGTTACATTGCAGTGCAACAAAATTTTGACTTAAGGAATTATAATTAGGTTACGTGCTGGATAGCTTTAGTGTCAACTTGACACACCTGGGTTGAGGGAGCCTCAATTGGGGAATTTCCTTTATTGGACTGGCCTGTGGCCATGTCTGAGGGGCACCTTCTTGATGAGTGATGTGGGAAGGCCCAGCCCACTGTGGGTGGTGCTACCCCTGGGCAGGTGAGCCTGTGTTGGATAAGAGAGCAAGCTGAGCAGGGGCCAGGGCAGCAAGCCAGTAAGCAGCATTCTTCCATGGTCTGTGCTTCAGCTCCTGCTTCCAGGTTCCTGCCCTGAGTTCCTACCGTGGGCTCCCTGATGAACTGTGACCTGGGAGTTGTAAGCTGAATAAACCCTTTCCTCCCCAAGTTGATACTGGTCAGAGTATTTTGTCCTAGCAGTTGAGAAATAAACTAGAACTCTCTCTTCCCTCCCAGTGCCTTCTCCTCCCCCTCCCCCTCCTCTAGGCCATCCTTCTACTTCCTACTCTCCCATTAACCCTTTCTCCTTCCTCCTCCTGGGCTTACGTAGTTTGTCAAATGCTGTCAGCACTTATTTGGTCAATCCGAATACTGCTGAGGATAAGACTGAAGAGCCAGAATGCACTGACTCCATTTGGCTATCTTCTTCAAGCCCGGACAAGCTCAGGCATACTGTAAATTTTTCCAGTGCTGGGGCTGAAGAATCAGCTGTGATTAAGAAAAGACCAGAACCTGAAACAAAACCTTTGCTTTACTGGGACAATTGATGCTGGTTAGCTGGGGCTGAAAAATCAATTGTAAGTAACAAGAGACCAGCATCACTGTGGTGAAGTCTTCTGGGAGGTATTTCCTCAGGGTCAGCACACAGAGGGGACTCACACCTCTATTTCAAGCTGGAAGCAGGACTTGGTAATATATTAGAGTCTCCTACATGGTTCTGGTGTTG